TCCACTCTCCCTCACCTTCATGCAGGGTCCTGGTCCCACTGGCAAACAGGAAGCAGGAGATTCCAACTCCATTTATGGAGAGGGGAATTTGGAGTGTACCACATAAAAGCCAGTCCAGAGGGGTGTTTTAAATTATATCACAGAAATGCTCTTTTAAATGCTCATCTAATATAATAGTGTGATATTTCTGTGACAGGCTAGGTCGGGTGAAATGCTGATGGYTATATATATATATTTTTCAATGTCGTATCTGATAGAGATTTGTTAATTGATATTTGTCTCTATGGTTTGTCTGGTAGGAGGGGCTTCCACTATAAAATGCATTGGGTAGATGCTCCTAAGGGGTAGTTAAGCTCGGGCCTGAAGGCCGTGTGTATGAGAGCACACGAGTCAGTGGCTTAGTAATGAGTATTTGACTTCAGTTTGAAGAGTTTTATTTACTTGTTTAGTATCTTTTCTTTTTTTTTTTCCAACTATGTACATTCTCACATTGTACCTGCACGGGACTGGTAACTAAAGCACCAGGTGAAGATCTCGAATCATGTCTCCTTCTTCCACCATGGGGGCACAATATTACATCCACTATATTTTGTCTAGCATTGAATGTCTCAGGGTCAGTAGGAGCAGGAGGACAGCTGGAATAACAGCACGAATGGGTGAATGGGAACAAAAGAAATGTGCTGACAAGACTGTCTTCGATATTCACAACAACAAGCTATAATGAAATAATAATTCTTTTCTTCCAGATGTATCACAAGGTTGGAGTGAGTGAGGGGAATCTGCGTCAGCCCACCTATGTTTACCCTGAAGAGGTGAAAATGGTGATACGGTCTGTGTTCCCACAGAATGTTTGTGACTACTCTGACCCCTGCCATGATCAGGTGAGTGTGAGCACTTTTCAGAATTCACTCTGTCTCTGACGTCATTTCAACTATGTTTGGAGAATCAGTTCAGCCCCAAAGTTGACAATGAAGTTCTCGCCACTGACTTTCACGAGTCAGAGATACGAGAGAGAGATACGAGAGAGAGCGAGTGAGAGAGAGCGAGCGAGCGAGAGAGAGAGAGAGTGAGAGAGAGAGAGAGTGAGAGAGAGAGAGCATAATATGTAAAATCTTTTGGGATGGGGGAAAAAACAGAAAAGTTAAGGCTCTCCAGAGAATAGGGTCTGTACTTTCTCTGCAGTTTGCCTTTCACACATGCATAATGAAGTGTGAGGTTCTCTGCACAGATGGATTCACAACAGCAACAAATTCTCTGACTTTCAGAGACAGAAACCTTTTTCAGACATCGCTTCCGGAGGATCTCTCCAGCAGGTGGAAGTATTGCACCAAGAACAGAAACTTGTGGAACTCCATAACTTTGGAGTACATGGAATAACTTGGTTCTAAGGTCAATGCACAACAATGTGTGGTGATTGTTTTTCTGTGATGGTTACAATTCTATTTCTGAAGAAGCTCAAGAAATCATTATAGAGTTAAATGAATACGTTGATGTGTCAGTAGAACTACAGGTATGACTCTGTCAGCTGCAGTGCTTAAGAGGAACCTGGGGTTGTTTTTTTATTTTGTTCTATAAATAATGAATAATAGGTTCTGGCATTTCAGAGGGCTGCCTTGTGATTTATCTATATTTCTAGGTTAGGTGAAAATCATCCACCATTTCTGTTTTAAATGTTTTAATTATATATACTTATGCCATTGCAACCTCATCTGATTTACTACCTTCTTTTTCAGAGTTGTGACAGTATCACGGGTGGTTCGCAATGAGGTTCCTTTACTAAT